CACAACAGCCACAACAGCCACAACGCAGCCAAGGATGAGCCCCAAGTTAGATTCTGGAAGTGAATTGGGAGAAAGAGCAGATAATTGATGGAGAACCCCAAACAATCATCCCCAGTAAGGGAGAGACCTAACACAGCCAAAAGACTGGAAATACCCCAAATTAAAAAGACTAAGGGCTCATCCTTACATCCCTCTAATTGTAGCATGAAGACCCCTTGCTAACCATGGTTAGAGGATGTTCCTCATGACACTGCCTTCGTCTCACACCAGCCCAGCCGAAGGCAGCTATTCATCTTTAGCTGCTCAGCTCAAAAGCAGCAGTTTGTAACCTTGTGGCTTGCAGCAGTTTACAGAAATAAACACTTCAACAACACAATAATATAAACTAAAGTAGGGAAACCATAAAAACATTTTTGTTCTTTTTATAGGCTGCCCCGATGTGTCATGACTCTGGGTGGAATTGGACAGCTCTTTTTTATTAAGCTGGAATATTTGCATTTTATTATTTAAAGTAAAAGGGCTCATATCCCCCCCCTTTTTTTTAAATATACATTTTCATTCTTTTCCTCTCTTGTAAGATTGGTCTGTCCCCAGAGCAGAAGAAAGGAGTGAATCCTCACTTCTACACTCTGTCACCTGGACAGGGAGTGGCATTATAGAAACTGTTTCAGCCTTTGCGTTTGGGGCTTTCGACTGCCAGGAAGGCAGCCCAGGAGGTGGGAATCCTCTTGCCTCACGCACACCCTGGGGTTAGGGGGAGGACCCAGGGAAGGCTTTTCTGTAATTTAAATCCATACCCTGTATTCAGGAATGAAGGACAACAGATTTTGTCCTCCATCTCCCTTCCTCTTATTTTGAAAAATGCTGTCACATAACCCAGCACCACCACCCTTTTCTCAAGGCAAAACATGCTGAGCTCCTTCTCTTCATCTACAGAGGATTTGGTTTCTAGTCCCTGATCAGCCTTGTTGCTCTACTGGGAACCTTTTCCAATTGCTCTGAATCTGTATTAATGGGTATTTCCCAGAATGGGCTCTGATTATAGCAGAACACAGTGAGAAAATTACCCTCAGAATTTGGAAGTTATCGTTGATTTGATGTAGCCTAAAACTGCACATAGCTTCTTTGGAGGTAGTTCATGCTTCTGGCTCATATTCAGTCTCCAATCAATCCCTATTACAATATCTTTTTAGCAAGCCAAGTATCCCCCACGCAATACCTGCACCTTTGATTTTTGCTTCCTAACCAAAGAACACTGCACTTAGAATCATACCATTGGAAGGAACCTAAGAGGTCAACTAGTCTAACCACCTGCTTAGTGCAGGATCTATTAAAATATTGAGATAGATGAGATTGTGCCTTTATTATTTCATTTGAGATTTCCCATCCTTCCTGGACACTGTTTCTTTCAAGTCTCTCTTCAATTTCATTCTGTTTCTCTCAGCTCATTCTGAATTTCACTTCTTTCTTTGAGTATATTAGCTCACTGAGTTTCAGATCCTCTGCAAATCTGATAACTATTTGTTCTACCTATTGACCCAAGTCATTAAAGGAAATATTGAAGAATAGAGGATGCAGGACTGATTCTTCTGGCCCCTCCATCTGATACCTTCATCCTGATGAGGAACCATCAATGGACACTCCTTGAGGAAGATGTTCCAGCCAGCTGTGGATCCCCTTAACTGTCAGGCCATCCGACCTCCTTTAATTTGCGGAAGAGGCCTCTGACTGCCTCCAAATGGCAGACAAAATGCCTGATTTACCATAAAAATTTAATCCCTTGAAACACCCAGATGACCCTGTCATCTTTTAGAGATCACTTGATCTATCTGTTTTCTATTTCATTCTGATCAACAACAAAAAGACAATAAAAGGACTTTAAAGTTCTCTTGCACAAAACTCATGACTCTCACTGAATAGTAGCCATGGCACTTGTGATTTGATACTTGGTAAAGAAACCAAAGGAGTATTATATTGTGCCTGGGATATCAGCATAAAAATAAAATGTGAACATTTTTTTATAATTGTGATGCTATCATCAATAAAAGACTGGTATTCTGCAGTTTTAGCAGTCCAGTGTAAAAAAATGTCAGTGGAAGTTATCAGCATACACAGAGTTGTTTCTGACACAAGGCTTTTGCTTTTGGTTTTAGGCTGAGAGTCAGGAATCCCAGTCGATCACTGATCGTAAAATAATGTCTGCACCTCTTTCCTAGAGCAGCAATGCACAGTGATGTTTTGTTCTTTACAGGAGGAAAGCCGTGTTCGTCTATGATGGCAAAAAATCAGGCTGGAAGCCCCTTTTTTGACTACTGATGCATCAGTCCAGCCACTCTGTGCATTTCATGAAGGGAGCCACAGTTCACAAATTTTAATACAATTTGGTACTCAGAAAAGGGGCTACCTGACTCCTCCTGATTTTTGCACTGGAGAAATACTAAATAAAAGGAAACCTGTTTCTGGGGCTCACCGTAACTCCTCCTGCTCTGCTGGAGGCAGCAAACAGGGGTGGGAGAGAGGCTAAGGGAGGATCTGGGTGCATTTCCTCAGGATGGGCCAACCATTGGGGTGGGACTCAGCTGCTTCCTTTTAAGAACCGGAAGCCGATTCTACGGACTGTTCCCTTCATGTCCACAAACCTCAATCATGGGAAAAACCACTGAATTAAAGCTCAGGGGTGCTCACATCTGGACACAGGGGGATCAAATTTCTCTCCCACAATCCTCCACCCTGAAAAGAGCCCAGCCTTTCCCTCCCTGCAGGCTCTCACCCTTCACGGCCATGTCCACAGGCTCCCGGAGGCCGTCATGCTCCACGTGGCATTGATAGCGGTCCCTCTCCTTGGGATCGATCCGGATGCTGAGCCAGTAGTGGTAGGTCCCATCTGCATTGGGGGGCCCAGACCCACGGAAGGTGTCCTGCAGCCAGACCTCCCCGCCCCCCCCCCAGGAGGCATCGATCTCCATGTGGTAGGAGCCAACCACGCCGCCG